ATTCCACAACATCATAGCCAAAAAACAAGATCAATGATCTTCGACTATAGAAGAATGCATGCTTTGAAATTATTATAATCGGACTAAACACAAGATTTCTATTCGTGATTTAAATGAGTTGAAATATATTGCTCATCGTGGAAATTATGTATGAAGAAGATAAACGCATTTTTAAACACCAGTGTACATTTCTCTATAGTAGATATAAATATATACATAAATATAAAAATAGCATCTTCATGAGATCTGCAAAATCGATCTTAAAAAATTGTAATACTGCTATGAGCAAAAAAAAAGTTCTACCGGAAGAGCCTTCAATATAGTAGCTATTCACGGTTTCCTCGAAGACAACGTTTGAGTTTTCGGAATAGCCAGAAGTCACAAGGAACTAAATCAGGCGAATACGGTGGTGCAGAACGATATTGGTTGAAAATTTGGCGAAAAACTCTCGAAGAATTAACCCGAAGAATTGTCGGTCCATAATTTTGTCCTCTCTTTTTCGACCAAGCGACTTATAATACTCAAATAGTATTCCTTTCTAACAGGTCAAAAGGAGTTCGTACTTAGCCTCACCACACACCCGAAGGAAACTGTCAACATATCATTGATTTTTGACATGCTTTGACGTATTTTTTCTACTTCGACTCCCCTTTGCCACGATATTCGGTTGATTGATAGTCAGTTTATGGGTAGTAAGCATAGATCTAAGACTCATCGCCTATAATAATTTATTTCAAGACATCCTGGCAATCGGAAAGCATTGTGTCAAAGACGTTAAGCCACAAATAATGGTTTGGGCCGCTGTCACCGCAGATGGGCGCGCTACAAATTATTTTCATCGAGCCTGGTGTCAAAGTAAATGCCACATATTATTGGGAAAGTGCATGTGGAAAGCTGCTTTGAAGCGGTGGGCAAACAAACATTTCGGTCGCAAAACATGGACGTTTCAACAAGACCGTCTCACAAAGAGCGAGTGAACCAAGAATGGCTGAAAGACAACGTTCCGAACTACATTACGACCACACAATGGCTCTGGAATTCACCAGATGCGATTCGCATTGGATTCCTATGGATTATTCTCTCTGGGCCATTTTGTAGAGCAAGGTCTGAAGTAAAAAATACACCAGTCTTGAGTTGATGAAAAAATTCATTGTGCGTGAGTGAGCCAAAATACCGGCAAGTCACATTCGGGCAGCTTGCGATTCGTTTTTTGACCGTCTCAAGGCCATAGTTAAGGCAAAAGGTGGTCATATCGAGCAAAAGTGATTTGGTCCTGAATGCGTGATTATTTTCACACATTTTGTACTTTAAAATAAATAAAAATAATTTCCCAAACCGAATTTATAACTTTTTTAATTAGTCAAGTGCCGGACCCTGTAAAACCCCAACGGTTAACTTGCTTTACATTGCAAAAGAACACAAGGCATAGAAGTGAATATTCGGTGCAGAATATAAAAAATATGGGTTTTTGCAGAACTCAGAATTCTAGATGTATTAATATTAATAAGCAAGTAATCTAAAATTCGTCGTTTTCGGTTACAAAAATTTTGAGTAAGCGATCCAAAGCGTTGAAATCTTAATGCCGAACTTCGCGAATCAGGTCTGCAAGCAATACTTTAGAGAAAAAGAACAATGAGGGTCGTAAACACTTATTGCTTAGCTTGAACCTAAAATCTTCGTTTTTTGTTGATGAAATTACTATAACTATTAAGAAAGGATAACCAAATTTTATTCTAGTATTATCAAATGTTTTCCTCAAATCAAATTGCATGCTCTATCTGACTATATCTGATGAAGGAAGCACATGCGATCCTCTATTCCAATCGAAACTTAAAAAAAAATTATTACCAACATTTTATTGTAGAAATATCAGATTTTTTTCTTTACTAAGTGTACCAAGACTTAGACATTGTAACGCTGAGCTTCGATATCCGGCTTTCAATGCTTTAGTGGGTTAATATGACTCATTAGGTGGTAGGTGAAGCCTTTGCGTTCGAAATGTCTAAATTTTAGAAACTACGACTTAAAACTTCGACATTTACTCCGAAAAATTGCTATTTAAAGACAAGATATCAACAATTTATTCTAAAAATGTCAAATTCCTGATTTCAATTGTGTTTTAATGATAATTTAATCTTACAAACTTCTTCGTTAAATTGTTATTTTTTTTTTTTTTCAAACATCGATTTCTGTTAAGTCTCTAATCGTTTGTAAACAAAAAACTCCGACATTATACAATAATATAAAATTTCCGTTACTTCCTTTCAATCGGAATTCGGGTTTTTGTGTTTGCAACATAAAAGAACGAGAACACAGCAACACAACTCACTTCGGCACTTTGAGGAATATTTCCCAATATTCGATGCGATTGTAAAATTAAAACCATTTATGAATGCAAAACAGCAATTAATTATTTATTCAAGCCAAAAACGTTTGAAAATTGTAATGGAAATTCTTCAAATGTTATTACCATTCAATTACAATGGAATATTCGGTGGATTTTCCAATTAACATTCAATTACACTAACCTGAATACCACAACGCTGCATCATCACACCTTGAATAAAGGCTACGATATTGATGCAAGTAAGCCCAAGCAAAGTGAAAAACAACAAAAACAATAAGCATTTTACTAACAATTCTTCTACGGTTTTCGTAAGAATTCGTAATTAGAAAACAAACAGGAGAATATATGCACCCAAACCGAATGCTTCAAGGCACAAATATATGTATATGCATATATACATATAGCATATACTTATATAGCATACACATGTATGTTCTTATGCACTCTTGTACGAACTTGGCTTAGAGTATCATTGGAAATTCATCTATTCTTATTCATTGGCATCTGCATGTGACTAAAGCAAATTAATTGCACAATAACTTTGCATTTAGAATGGTCATAAATGTTGGTAGTAACACATACATATATACATACACACACATATATACATATACACAAATGCATATAACCCATTTATTAGTTTAGATGAATTTTTAATTGCCAGCAATTAAAATTTCAATTTATTTATTAGGCAACACGGTGAACTACTTCTCGGTCAACACTTAGTCGAGTGACAGTTGCAATTTGGTAGTATTACGAATTATATAATTTAAAAGCACATAAACAATGATTGAGTACGCCAGAAGTATTTTGGTTTATTTAGTTGTATGTGACAGGGAAGTGTTACATGAAGTAATTGGCGCTACTACCAACATACTTCCTCATGGCTTCCCGTAACACCAGCGGTAAATAACAGCAAAAATAATTCTTAAAATTTAAACCTGGTGAATATGAGTTTTCGCAAATATAAGTGTTGCCACATTCACTCAAAATTTGATTTTAAATTAATTTTAAAAAATATATTTCTGAGCATATGGTTCAAATATTAGAAATATAATAAGTTTTTAGTAAAGAAAATTGTCCTTATAAAAAATACATAACCTTTCATTAAGCTTATGATATGCATTTTGAGGCACGAGAACTCTACTCTTCTAGCATGAATACTAAGAAGAAGATGGAAACATGAAATAGACCAAACACTGTACAGCAACGAATCGAATAAGCAACTGGTATAAATATCATAAACTAGTATAAACTAGTACCGTATTCTACTAATCTTTATTACCACTTTCATAAGGTATCTACTCTCTACAACTCAGCAACGGATAGAATAATCAACTGGTATAAATATCGTAAACCGGTATGAACTAGGACAGATAAAACTAAAGGAAATTATACCACTTCAATAAGCTACTTAAAACTATCTACAACTTAGAAGCGAATCAAATAATCAACTGGTATAAATATCGTAAACTGGTATAAGCTAGTACAGACAGAATTAAAAGAGGGTATACCACTTCCATAAGGTATCTTAAACTTTTGTAAACTCTCGTAATTTTGATCGGTCAGTTTAAATGACACCTATATGGTGCAACGATCCAAGCCGTTATTTAAAAAAATTGTCAAATAAAACAGTTTTTTGAACAGGTATATCCTGAAGTGGTTCGATATCGACGATTCCGACAACTCAGGAGCTTCTTGGGTGGAAATGAAAAATTCTTAACTCGAATATTAAGAAATAAGTTCCAGTATCTACAAACAGATAGTCTGGCATGGCTTGTTACGCCGATAATTTATCTGTGCTTCCAATAACTCACAAATAATGAAACGTAAATAGCTCTCTTCAATTCCAAAACAGAACCTTGAGAAGTATTGAATCGAACATACAACTTATTAAAATAAATTAAACTGGTATAATAAAATTGAGGTATCTGCATAATTTTATGAAGCTGAAGAATAGAAATTTCAAAAGACTCAAACCCAAATCAATATTGACTACAAATTTAGGAGATGAAAAAACTTAAGTCTCATCTTATCTTTCATCAGCAAGAATACTATGTATTTGGGGTCGCCACGTTACAATACAATGGAGGAAGTATCGATAATGAGGCAGCGGTTGAGATTCGCGTGAAGCGTAGGCATCCTAAAGCATAATAACTCATATTGGACCTAGCAACTGAACTTCATCTGGTATCGTAAAGAACCAAAACTGGTCTATGCGTGACTTATTGGCTTCCTTTATTAACCTAACCTAAGCTAACCGGTCTATATTTGGACATCATCCGAACTCAATAATTACAGATGAGACCATTTCTAAAAATGGAGCTGTCCAACAACATTTTCTTAAATAATTTGGGGGTTCTTTTGCGGTTGGAGATCTATCTGCTGGGGATCCATAAAAGTGTGAGGTTATGTAAAAATATATCTATGAAAATCCAAATTTTTGGCTACTAATTGGTAAAACAGGACTAAAATAACTTCATTTTCGTTCAAAACTCAGTTTTCGTTTTTAGATTTAGGTTATGGTGAATAAATATATTTTTTCTGTACTAATATCGTGGAATACAGGATCACGGTTGATTAGAAATAAGCTACATATGTATATAGTATACATGAAAAACAAACCAAAAATTATGAATTTTTTTCCACTCACCTTAGCTTGAAATGTGATGCCATGGAAAAAGGCCTGCTCGGCATGCAACGGCACACGCAAATCCTGATCGTCCTGCACCAAATCGTACGGTGTCGACGGCATTCTCAAATAGTTTAGTATCACTGATTCAGACCACTTATAGTATCATGAAATTGTTTTCATTTTCTTCTCGCTACGCTTGTGCAATGAGTGCCCGATGTGCCATAAAAAGCCGTTACCACTACTCGAATTTCGCGAACTCATACAAAAACGCACCAAACGAACGAATATAAACACGGAAAGCAAACAAATTAATTGAATAATTTAGCAATACGCGTTGAATTTAAATTTTTAAACTTTTTCACTTGCTTCGCACAGGCGCCCACACGGAGGATACAATTTCAGCCGGTTTCGCTCACTAACAATTTATTTACTATTATTATTTATTATTTTTTTTTTTGAAACACTAAATCACTACGCGGCAAATTGATTTAAATTAAATTGCATTTACGCTCATTAATTAATTCATGAATAGAATTTTGTGCGCTTTCAAAATGGTTTCCAGTGGCAAATATAAAATAGCTATAAGCGCGTGTGGTAAATCTGTAATTGAAAGAGAAAGACAATTAATTATTTATTTTGCCATATAATAGTATAAAAAATATAAAAATATTAAGTCAGTGCAGACATAAACATTTTTGAAATGAAGTAATGACTGTGGCAATTTGTTAAAACAGCTTAAGACGAATTAAGCATAAGCAGTTGCTTTGATTTCTACCGAAAAACCCAAGCATATACCTGAACTTTATTTTAACATAATTTAAATCATGCGATTCTTAGATATTTCTGAAGGTTGAACAAAACCTCGAATCTTAAAAATTTAGTCAGAATAACTCAAATTTTTCTCATTAGTCTAACTCGACTTAAGCGATTTCCGTGAATATTTTGTTTCGGAAGTATTTATGCACATATACCAACCAGGGCGTAACTGTCTAGCTTCGCATGACTATCTAGCCGACACTAGTCATCTCTTGTGAGTCATCGACTGGCTAACTTGACACCTAAACACTTTCGTAAGGCCACACCAAAAGCGGCACGTTTAGCCACTCATTAGCGTAGCATTGGTCGTCTAACTCTGATTCGCATGAAATATGCAAATTAATTACTTTGGTTTCGTTTTTTTTTTTTTTTTGTTTTTTTGGCGACTGAGACTCTGTTGCCTGACGCAAAAGCTTTCTTTCATAAGTATGCAAATTCGTAGAAAATTATATGAACTCTTAGTAGAAAAACTATAAAAGAGATTAAAAAAACTCGAGAGTAAATTTCATAAAACTTGGCATAAATGTTTGAGCTTGACTTGTGAATGAAGGAATGACTTGTGAATGAAGGAATGACTTATTCAAAGCAATACTCATTTTCTTAAACTTAAAATTCCAGAAGACTTTATTTTATTGGCAAAAGACGAGAACGGTACAAATACATCAAAGATCTTGTACTCTTGCAGCCTTCCTTTGATTTCATTTAGGAATGTGTGATCTAAGTCCAAATAAATTTTAAAGTGAATCGAAATTAATGAACACAGGAAACGTCGTTCGGTCGATAATTGGACATAAGTTTCCAATGTTAAGATATCGTCGTAAATCCAATCAAAAAATCAATCAGATAACAATAAAACATCACGTATCAGACGATCTTACATTGTGCAAAAAAATGTGATTAAAGACAAGAGGTTATACTTACGCTATCGCGATCTTACGTGTTAATCATCTCCTCTTGGCAAATGCAAACACTCAGACATATCTCTTTAGAATACTCGAAAGATTTCCGAGTCGCGAACCTAGAGTAAGTTAGGTTAAAAATTCGATAAAAAATGTGTTCCACTTAGACAGCTGAGAACGCTGGTTCATTTGTGAAACCTAAATAATTCTTATTATTGATCGAAAAGACTCTGAAAAATCAGCAAAGCGCTTTGAGCCTGCCTCACATTTCTTAAAGCGCATGATATCAATTCCGGCTATTTCGCCAGGTTGTCTGAACTTATGACTGTCGAGATGTTTTAACCACACTTGCGTTTGCCAAAAATTTTAGCCTTGCCGCATGCACTCCTATTGATCAATGACCAGTAAGAATTCCACGATTGCGGCCAGATGAACTGATAAGCTGAGAGCAAAAAGTTTTAATGGATCTTCTGCGTTCCGCATTAAGCCAGGAAAACCACTCAGTTACATAGGAGTTGGTTGTTAATCACCACCTGCTAAGCTCACGCGAAGTCCAGAGGTACAACGTAAAGATGACAATGTTGACACAACTCGTTCTCAATCCGATGTAATCGGAACAGAGTTGCAATCTCTAGCGAGCTTATAGACTCTTAAGTAACGAGATGAGTCTGACAATAATACGGTTGGATGCTACCGATAGTAAAAACAGAGGCAGTTAAAAATGCCGTTCCCATAACAGTCGGGTTTAAGTACCCCGAGCGGATTCGGATTTTTATCCAGCCAAGGACTGCTAACTCGGCACCATTCCTCCAAATTGCTTTAGGATTGTTTTATGCCGCTACAGCAACAACGAAAACAGAGATAGTTAAATTAACATAGAGCGCACTAGGGCGAGCTCAAAGCTGGTATTTCCGCTGTGAATCCACACTTCACAGAAATAGACTACACTTCGAAACATTACATCTACGGCCACCTTAATAGAAGCTTGAGCGAGAGCTACATTTACATTTGCAGAAAACCTCTACAAGCTTCTCAATTTCGACCGTTTCGTGAAAATGTTCATTGCGCCTAATCTCCGCTGGCTCCTCTAGAGTATGGGAGCAGAGAAAAGGCCAAACATAAGATCTACAGAACAAAAATTATTATTATTATTTATAGATGGAATGCAAACTTATCCAAAACAAGTAAGGAAGGGCTAAGTTCGGGTATCACCGAACATATTATATTCTCGCATAAATAAAGTGATAATCGAGATTTCAGGCGTGGTTGTGAACCGATTTCACCCATATTTGGTACATGTCATCAGGGTGTTAAGAAAATATTATATACCGAATTTCATTGAAATCGGTAGAGTACTTCCTGAGATATGGTTTTTGGTCCATAAGTGGGCGACGCCACGCCCATTTTCAATTTTTGGAAAAAGCCTGGATGCAACTTCTTTCTGACATTTCTTCCGTAAAATTTAGTGTTTCTGACGTTTTATGTTAGTCGGTTAACGCACTTTTAGTGATTTTTAACATAACCTTTGATTGGGAGGTGGGCGTGGTTATTGTCCGACTTCTTCCATTTTTGAACTGTATATGGAAATGCCTAAAAGAAACGACTCTATACAGTTTGGTTGACATAGCTATAGTAGTTTTCGAGATATGTACAAAAAAATTAGTCGGGGCCGGGGCCACGGCCACTTTTCCAAAAAAATTACGTCCAAATATGCCCCTCCATACTGCGATCGTTTGTGCCAAATTTCATTTTAATATCTTTATTTATGGCTTAGTTATGACACTTTATAAGTTTTCGGTTTCCGCCATTTTGTAGGCGTGGCAGTGGGCCGATTTTGCCCATCTTCGAACTTAACCTTCTTATGGAGCCAAGAAATATGTATACCAAGTTTCATCATGATATCTCAATTTTTACTCAAGTTACAGACGGACAGACGGACGGACAGACAGACATCCGGATTTCAACTCTACTCATCACCCTGATCACTTTGGTATATATAACCCTATATCTGAACAAAACTATAATACTCTCTTTAGCAACTTTGTTGCGAGAGTATAAAAACCAACAGAGTTAGATTATTATAAAATTATCTACGGCAAAAGTGATTACCACGTTCACAGCGACTCATTCACACCAAAATACTGATTAATTTCTAGTAAAAGTGCCGACAGTCGTTGTATCTAATACACTGACCAAGAGTTAATGATTTCGTATTTTCGCAAATAAGAAAACAAAAACCAACCCGACAGGGGGCAAGCACCTGCTTCAGGTCAAGCATTTCCTTAATCACCTTTCGCGGCGTATTAACCGCGTCAAAGCATAAACACTTTGCTAATAAGTGACTTCATACGCATAACTCACCCGAAGACGTGGGCAAAGGAGTGACCGGCCGCTGAGTTTGCCGCAAAATTTTGCAAGAACTTACATGTGTACATGATTTTCATACTTATATAGAGTTATACATATGTAATTATTTATATAGATAGTATGTATTATCTTCGCTAAAAATCGCACATCTACAGCTAGGTATTTATCGCAGTCGTTTATCGAAGCTTTTTTATTCAGTCGGAGTTAAGCCCAATTATAATTTGCTTGAGTCACTTAGTTTCCTTGTGAAACTATGGGATGGTCGATGTTGTTGTTTGTTTTATTTTGCATTTTTTTATGTTGTTGGTCTGCGAATGCCCGTGAACCCATAAAATTTTGCACATTCGCGAATTCATTTTGTTTACCGCCTTCTGCTACGCTCTGTTTGCGGCTTTTCGCTTTAAAGTGTCTTTAACTATTTTGACTAGCTCACTTGAATTTCGAATTCGCAATTCTTTTTAGAATCTTTCAGCGCTTTGCTCCTCCTTTTTTTTCCTGTTTAAACTGGTTTATTGTCGTCTCAATCAAAAGTCGAAGCTGGTTTTATCTACTGGCCGATTTTGGTTTTGTTTTTCTGTTAAGATTTTTTCGATCTTTTCCTTATTCGTAATATTCACTCAGCAGCTGTTTCGCAATCAGTTTTTGTGTGTATTAAACAAAGCCGCTTAATTACACTACACCTCCCACAGTCTGGCGTTTAAAGCGAAAAAATTTCATAATATTTTGAAATAAGTTTTCTGTTATTCTGCATCTTTCTTCAGCGCACTGAAAAATTGCTTATTTTATGCGGTGAAAATGTTCGGAGCAGCTGCTGCTGGGGAAACATTCTTATCTGGTGATAAATGACCCCATGGTCACTGTGGCAGCCGTTGAATGAGTTTTTATATAGGATAATGAGTGAATAGGGAGAAAATAGTGAGGGAAGATGGAACTGAAAATGAAATACCATTCTGCTTAAAGTTTTGTTTGTAGTAAAAGAAATATAGTTCATGGGATGAAGTTGTTCGACGAAAAGGTAGCCATGTAACTTCCACGCCCCCTCTAAATACACTGATAATATTTTACGCAAAATTTTTTCATCTCAAAAACATGTCTAGAAGTTTTAGAATTGCTTGCCAAGAACCAATTGTCTAGCGAATGTGGTAATGTTGTTGTTTTAGCGGTAGAAAACATTCCTGAACTAGTTTCAGTGAATGGTGACGACTGTTGTGGGAACGACTAGCTGTGGTGCATACATGCAGAAGACACTAGACTCCTTCTGTCGCCTACTTGAGAAACCAAATATCTATCAAACTAATATTTTACTGACTGGTCTGTAACGAGTTACAGCTTAAGTTCCAGTCAAACCCTGAAACCACTTGCAAACTCAACCTTTCAACTAGTTTTCATAAAATGAAACTTAAACCCATTTTCTTCGAAAAAATTAGATCATCGCACTTTCTCCTTAACTGCAATTCTGCGCTATCAATCCAGAAACTCTTGAATAAATAAGTATCTGCAGCTGCTGCAGGATGACTA